GTCCTATTACCCCCTAACCTCATTTTATGTATAATATTTTACACCTTTTGGCTTGTGTGACACAACCCGTGACTCCACACTATTTAAGCGTGTGGGAGATAATTGGATGCCACGTAAGTCAAAAAGGTGTACAAATTACCAAAAAAAATAAAAAGTCAGGTGGTTGTAGTTTAATTAAGGTGTGTCACTGAAATTTGGGTCATAGTCAAGGGAGGTACTTCTTCCTTTTTCCTGTTTAAAATTCATGACCATTTTATTTTATCCACAATCAAGTCTTTGGCTTCTTGGTTCCATCTATGGAGAGTAACTGGTATGCAACATAGCGGACTCTTTCCTACAGGGGGCAGTTGTCAAGGTACACAAATAAGGATAAACAGAATAGGATGTTGGAGATACATAATTTTAACGACTTATTTCCATATATGAAGACCGTCAAGATTGATAACCTTTGGGGACTACTAAGTGAAAATAAGTTTGTGCTGGCATTGGTAAAATATTTGTTCAAGCATGCGATCGTGCTAGAAAAAATTGTCATTGCGGCATCATGCTTATGGAGTGATGCGTTTACGGATCATGCTGAAATGTCACAGGAGTTACTAAGCTTTCCAAGATTATCTCCCCACATTTCAGTTATCTTTTCTAATTGGTAACCTTTGGCTCATATTGTTTAAATCGATTGCAACAAATCAAATTAATTTTGTCAAGGAAGCTAAGCCACAGAAACTTGGCCCAGTGTGTCTGTTGGGGGTATTACAGAAGGAAAGAGATAGTTGGTTCTTTGAAGGAAAAGCTTTTTGTAAACTGAGAATTCAATTATGGTGATATGCTAAACCGTCTGGAGTAGCATGAGTTGTATATAGTTTTTTTACGTGCGAGCATGGTCCTAGTGCTCAACCAATTCATAAACAAATGAATTCGAAAAGTATTCTAGTTTATTTGTCTTCACTATGCTCCATTGTAATATTTCTATATTTATTGAATTGTTCATGCTCAACAAATGGGATCGCCCTTTTGAAATGCCAGTTGTACTATGTTAGAGACTCGATCAATCTAAACAAACAAATAATTTTACCCCACTCGATCTCCCATAAGACACATAAGTAACAATAACAATTTCTCAGTTCGCATATAAGAATACATCTTGGATTGAGCTAATTTCAATTGCATTGCTTTGTGTTTTAGTATAGATACATGTTTGAGTGATTGGGAAACCTTGGATATTGTGGTTTTGGGGTAATTTCAGTCACAAAGGGCTACCAAAGCTTGATTTTGGAGATTTAATGGAGATTTTATTACATGGGATGTTTTAGCTGATATTGACACAAAAGTTTGGTCTGACATTTCCAAAGTTAATACTTTTAAATATTTTATATATTAAATAGTTCAAAATATATTTTTTGCAATTTTAAAGCAGTTTATCAATATTTATCCTAATTTTTTTTCTGAAAATGTTAGAATTTTATCAATTAATTTTTATTACATTATTTTTGTCACATTCAATTTAGGGTTTGTTTGGAAAGTCACATGGTAATTGAAATTGATGTAATTATTAGGGTAGTAATTACCAACCTAATAATTACATTGCCTAGCAATTACATTGACCTGGTTGATTGCTATAGTGTAATTACACCCGATGTGGGCAATTTTGTTGCCTGTAATTACACATGTGCTATTTTGATGTCACAATGTAATTACACATGTTCTATTTGGGTGCACAATTACAATAAATTTTAAAAATAAAATTTATTATTTAAATTTAATATTAGTCAAATAAGAAACTTTATAAATGACATTAAATTACATATTTAATATATATATATATATAATCATTTTTTTTGGAAAAGAGGGAAAATGCACAAATATCCCCCTAGAGTTTGACCGAAATTTAAGAGTCACCTTAACTAAACTAAGTTCCTATTACCCCCGAACTTATTTTATTTGTAATTTTGTTCACCTTTTGTCTTACGTGGTACACTCCGTGACTCAATGCAATTGAAGCGCGTGGGAGATATTCGAATGCCACATAAGCCAAAAAGGTGCACAATTACAAAAAAGATAAGTTCTGGGGTAATAGGACCTTAGTTTAATTAATGTGTCTCTGTGATTTTGGTCATAGACTAGGGGGAAAACTTTTGCATTTTCCCACATAATTTTATTAGTATTCTAATATTTATGTAAGGGTATAGAATTACATTTTTTTTCATTTTTAAAAAATAAAAAAATATATTTATGTATGCTAAGTTGAAATTAAGGATAAGCCACAAGTACCCACAAACCATTAACAAAATCTCAGACATACTTAACTAATATACAGTCCTATTACCTGTCTAAACTCATTTTTTTGTGTAATTTTGTACACATTTTGGCTTACGTGACACACTCTTTGAGTCCACATAAGTGAGGCGCATGCGAGATGTTTGTGTTAGCTTCTTAATGTTATGTAAATTCTGATAAATGACAATTAACATACTACTCACAATTCTCACAGGCTTATAGATCCAACAAGGAAAGGATTCAAGAAAAACAACACCAACATGGAAAGCAATATATTCTAATCTTTACAATTACTTCATAAAGACATTGAAATAAAAAAAAAGGAAGTGATCTGTGCAGAAAACACAAACATGGAAACAAATATATGGTTGAATTAATAGAAAGGAAAACATCAATCTAAGGAATTCGAATAAATGTAAAGATGGCCAAAATCCAACCTACAATTCACCTTGATTGAAAAGATAAGACCAAGTTATCAATATAAAGCAGAGATGCGAATTAAGTCAAAGATCAAAAGTTTATTGACCAAAAAAGGAAATAAATTAAGCCAACCAAGTTAAGGAAGATGGAGAAGAAAATCACGTTAAGGACTCAAGATCTGCTAATCAAACAAGAATCAAGCCAGCAAAATCAAGAAATACAGATAAGTCCAAAACTCAAAATGGAAATTGTCCATTACAAGCGACTTCAAGAAGGAAAAGAATAATTGTCTAAGTTGCACTGGAAAGGAAGGCATCAATTTAAGGACCAAAATAAGAAAAGGAAGATATGGCTGATCAGCACTGCAAGGAAACTTTAAAATAGATAGAACACTCGCAAACTTGGTAGAGATCAAATAAGAATCAACAAGAAAAAAAAGTATGAATCAAGGTAGAAGTAAAGTAAATTGGTGATCTTTTAAGGAGAAGGTCAAACTAGCAAAGGAAAGCAGAAAAAACAATTTACTGCATTGATGAAAATCAACTAAGTCGCCTAACTCAAGAACTCCGTAAACTGATCCTTAGTTGAGACAAAACCCTTGGGTTTTTCCTTACAAAGAGTACAAGTCAACATCTATATGAAGAGACTCAGAATCGTAGTTTGAATTAACACACTTCACATAAACATGTATTATAATCTTCTTTTGTCTTTCATAAAACTCTGTACACCTTTGAGTGAACAACTTTAAATAAAATAAAAAGAAAGATCTGAGTGTAGGCTATATAATTAGTATTTGTGTTAGAGAAGAAGGTTTAATTTGCATATCAGACGAGCTCTTAATTGTAATATTATGTAACACTCAAGTTCTCAACAAGCTCTTAAAGAAATTCTTGTAACTTAAGGGGACTGCACTAGGCACCACATCGGTAATCTTAATCAGCATAAAAACACTCAGTGTTATTTACTTACTGCAAGTTATTATTACTGTTTATCTGTTTTACTAACATACAGGTGAGTCGACTGACCAGAGCAGGAAGTCAACTTAAGGGAATACTAATTCAACACCCCCCCCCCCCCGAGTTGAAGTTTGGAGGCTACTACGTTGGCTAAAAAGGTGTTTAAAATTATTAAAAAAAGTACAGGAGGTAATAGGACCTTAGTTTAGTTAAGGTGTGTCTCTGATATTTTGGTCATCGTCTAGGCATGGGGTACTAGTGCCTTATCCCTTGAAATTTTCTGTAAGAGTATCATATTACATTTCACGTGATTTTTTTAATTATATTTGATAGAATATCTTTTTGTTAAACATTTAATAATTTTTATGTTCTTTTTACCAAACATGCCTTTCATTATGTTTATAGAAACTTCATACTTTTAGTTTTTAGGGAAAATGCATAAGTAGTCCCTCAACCTATGCCCGAAATCTCATACACACTTATACTATACTGAGGTCCTATTACCCCCCTTTACATATTTTACAAGTAATTTTCTACCCATTTTCAACCTACATTGCTCTATCTTGTAGGCCCAGCGTGTGTTGATATTTTTTTTCAAGCTAGTTCCACGTAGACTGAAAAGGGGTAAAAAATTATTTATAAAATAAGTTCAAGGGGATAATAGGATCTTACTATAGTATAAGTGTGTCTCTGGAATTTCGGGCGTAGGTTGAGGGGGTAATTGTGCATTTTCTCAAATTATACTAATGTGAAACTAAGCGTGGCATAAAGAAATAGATGATACAAAAAAGTTAAATAGAAACACGTAAAGTAAGGTTTAGAATAAAAAGAAAATGAAATAGATGATACGAAAAAATTAAATAGAATCACGTAAATTCACAGCCTCTACTTGTGAACTGTAGAATGCAACTACCCACCAATTATCTTCTGGCAAAGTAATCATCCGTTTAACCAACAAAGTAATTATACCTAATTACACCAAATCAAATTACCAGGGTGTCTTTTCAAACAAGCCTTAATATGTTGTAAATATAGGTTCAGTTTGTTTAAATAATCATTTTTATTAAATTGCATGTTTACATGCCATTCATTTTATTCGTTACATTTTTTAACATTCCTTTTATTTGTCACTTTTATTATTATTCATTTTGGTGTTTTTTTAGCATAATCTATATACATTTAAATACGGATAAAATTTACATAAACAAATATTTTATTAACCAGTGATTTTGACCCACAATTTTAAGATCATGATATTATACAAATGTGAAATGCGGTTAAAAATCATTTTTGGTGTAATAAGTGGTTGTGTTTGGAGGTCATTTTGGTGGTGGTCTAGTGGAGAAAAAAGGTAAAGGGGTTTCAATGGATTTCTTTGGTAGGTCGGAAAGGGGTTTTGGGTGTTGTGGCTTTGTTGGTTATTTCTGTTGGCAATGAGGAGAAGTTTCATAGAAATTTTTTTATTTTCCCTTTCCCCTAATTCTTATCCTCTATTTTTTTCAGTTTTGTAAATGATGGCTTTGATAACATGACATGCGTGCAGAATTCACTCCGAGATCGCAAAGAGTTGTTTATTCTTGAATCACCGAGTCAAGAGATTGATTATGACGAAGAAGAGGCTTTTAGCAAAATTAATAGGAAATTGGACCATTTTGAGCACAAGCCTAATCCTAATCTTTATGAAATCGAGGTAACTAATTTGCGAAGTACTGAAGAAGTTAAAGAAATAAAAACAAGTATTCATATCAATTAGGAAATTAGAGATGCCATAATAGAACTTTTTTTTGAATACACAAATGTGCTTTTCTTGGTCTTATGATAATATACGAGGTTTGAGTGTTGATTTAATTATTCATAAGTTTCCCACTTACCCTGATTTTCCACCCGTCCAATGGTAAAAAGGGAAATTTAAACCATACCTGCGTAAAAAATTCAAGGAAGAAATCATGAAAAAACTAAATGCAAATGTGAGATCCAAGCCATTCGTTACACTACTTTGTTGGAATATGTCATTCCTATGTCAAAAAAGGATGGAAAGACAATAGTTTGTGTTGAATATTGGGATTTGACCAAAGCTAGTCCAAAGGAAAACTTTCCCTCGCCAAATATACATATTCTAGTTGATAATTGTTCCAAACACGAGATTTAATCTTTTGTGTACTGTAATGCAGGGTATCATCAAATCTTGATGGATGAAGAGGATGTTGGGAAAAATCTTTCACCACTCTATGGGGGATTTATTGCTATAGGGTCATCCATTTTGTCTTTAAAAAGCTGGGGAAACATACATAAGGGCTATGACCACCATGTTTCATGATATGATGTATAAAAAAAATTGGAATATACATCGAGTACGTAATCATCAACTCTAATACACAAGTTTACCATGTGTAAGATATGAGAAAATTCTTTGAAAGAATGTGAAGATATGATCTCAAGATTAATCAAGCAAAATGTGAATTTTGAGTTCCATTTAGATAACTTCTACATTTTATTGTCAGTAGAAGGAGAATCAAATTGAATCCTTCCAAAATAAAAGTCATTTTATATTTGCCTCCCTTGAAAAATAAGATCGAACTCATTAGTCTATTTGGGAGGTTGAACTACATCAGTAATTTTATTGCTTAACTCACAATCACTTGTGAGCTCATTTTTAGACTTCTGAAAAAGAATGATGTTGTCAGATAGACAAAGGATTGTCAACAATCTTTTGAAAAAGTGAAGCAGTATTTGTCTAACCCTCCCGTATTGGTCCCGCCTGAACCTTATAGGTTTATTTTTCTATATAGTTCAATAACAATTTATTCCTTTGGGTGCATTCTCGTCAACACGATTCCAAAGGCAGGAAAGAGCAAGCTATCTACTACTTGAGCAAGAAATTCACTAGTTATGAGGTCAAGTACACCCTTTTGGAAAGGACATGTTGCGCCCTAACTTGGGTAGCTCAAAAGTCAAGGCATTACTTTTTGTCCTACAAAACTTACCTCATATCTAAAATGGATCTTTTGAAGTACATCTTTCAGAAGACAATGTCAACTGGCAGACTCGCGAAATGGCAAATCTTGCTAACTGAATTTGAAATTATATGTCACTCAAACTGTAATGAATGCCCAGGCTTTGGCCGACCACTTGGCAAAGAATCCAGTCGATGGGACTATGAACCATTGGATAAGTATTTTCCCGATGAAGAGATTAACTCAATTAAAGAAGTAAGATGAAATATTTATTTAGGCCTGACAATTGTACTTTGATGGAGCAATCAATGCAAAAAGTACAAGGATAGGGGTGATTCTCATATCGCCCAAAGGGCAACATTATCCTGTAACATCTTGAATTTGTTTCTTATGTGAAAATAACACAAAAAAGTATAAAGCCTGCATCATGGTCCGAAATATGTCAATAGACTTTGGTGTGCAAGAATTGATTGTGTTGAGAGATTCTGATTCACTTATTCGCAACCTCAAGGCGAATGGAAAAATCTATACCTCAAACTTCTTCCATACGGACAATGTGTGGAATATCGTAGAAAAAGGTCCATGTACATCTAGTTTAGATACATCCCAATATTTCATAATGAATTGGCAGATGACATTGCTACTTTTGCCTCAATGCTTCCATATCCTGGAAACACTTACATCACTCCCTTGGAGATTCAAGTTTGGGACCAACATAGCTATTGTAATACATTTGAAGCAGAACCATATGGTGAGCCGTGATACCTAGACATCAAGAAATTTCAAAAGACAAGAAGATGCCCGAAACATGCCAATGGAAGCCAAAAAAGAACTAATAAATGTCTGGATAATGGTTTATTTTAAGGAGGGAAGTTTTATATAAACAAACTTCGGATCTAAACTTGTTGAGATGTGTGGACGCTGAAGTAGTTGAGCAGATCATGAGTGAAGTAGATTCCGGGGTATGTGGACCACACATTAATTGATATGTCCTTGCAAAAAAGATATTCCTAGCAGGATATTATTGGATTACCATGGAATGGGTTTGCTAGCGCTTTGTGAAAAAATGTCATCAGTGTCAAAATCATAGTGATCTTATTGATTTACCTCCTTTAGAGATTCACCTTATGGCCGCTCCTTGGACCTTTTTTGCATGGGAAATGGATGTCATCGGACCAATTGACCAAAATTTTCTAATAGACATCAATTCATTTTGGTTCCAATTGACTACATTACCAAATGGGTGGAGGCAATCACTTTCAAAGCAGTCACTAAGAAGGCGGTCGTGGATTTAGTCCATTCGAAAACCATTTGTCGATTTGGTATCCCTAGAACTATCAACACAAATAATGTTGCAAACCTTAATAGCAATTTAATGAAGGAGGTATGTGAACAATTAAAAAGTGTTCATCACAATTCTACTCCATATCGATCAAAAGCCAACGGAGTTGTGGAGGCAGCCACTAATAATATCAAAAAGATTCTAAGAAGGATAGTTCAGGGTACCAGACAATGGCATGAGAATTTGCCTTTTGCATTTTTAGGATATCGCACAACAGTGTGCACCTCGTTTGGTGAAACTCCTCATTAGCTGGATCATGAGACTAAGGTTGTGATTCTAGTGGAAGTCAAAATTTCATCTCTTCGAATTATTGTCAAGGCATAAATTAAAGATATTGAATGGGTCAAAACCCGACTAGAGAAGTCTGCATTAATAGATTAGAAACGATTGACGGCTATCTGTTTTGGTCAGCATTATTAGCAAAGGATGACTCGTGCATACAACAAAAAGGTGCACCCAAGACACTTTGAAGTAGATCAACTGGTCTTAAAGTGCACTCTCCCACACCAAGAAGAAGCCATGGGAAAATTTGACCCAAATTGGCAAGGTCTGTATCTATCAAGGAAGTATTATCCAAAGGAGCCTTGCACCTTACTAATATGGAGGGAAATATGACAGACACATATGTTAATGCGGACGCAGTCAAAAGATACTACATCTAGTGCATTCTAAGATACTATTATAAGTTTGTGGTTAAGAGAACACAAACACCTCTTCAAAGAAAAAAAATTGTATGTTTCAAAATTTAAACTACGTTTGGCCGAATTCCAAAAGGATAAGTAGGCAAATCCTTTGTGGTTTGTTCATACCAAAAAAATCAATATTCCATTATATGTAGAAAACTAGGGTATTTTTATTTTAATTTTTGATAAAATAGTATCAAATTGTAATTCTGTTTATGATTTTATCCTTGCAACCAACATTTTGATCAACTCTAAACATGAGAGATTCAATGTGTCTTTCATAAATAATTGATCATCAAAGACAAAATTGTTCAGTTGGAAAAAAAATCAAAGAGTCTGATCGGTGAAAACCTTCATAGGCACCATCAGACGATAAAAGAGAAGATCTCATTGCGGAAAACCCTTGTAGGAACCTTAACAAAAATGAGAGAACGTCACGAAAATGACTAACGGAAGAATGTGCAAAGATGACCATTTCTCGACACATCTGCATGAAGGATACATAGATTAGTTTTAAATTGTTAATGATTCATATTTTGAGAACTATACAACTTAAACGGATCATGGATAAAGTTCAAAGTGCATGCCATGGTTCACTCAAAGTCGAAATATGACTCAAGATAAGTTCTCTTTATCTTTTTTTCTTTAAAAATGGATGTCCTTCTTTATGTTTATAGTGTTTCTTCAACAAATATTTCACATTATTAAGTCTAAACATTCTTCTAGTCTTTTCGGTATAATCTCTTAATAAAATAAAGTGAGAGTGCAAAGATTATTGTGGTTTCCAAAGGTTAAGTTGAGTGTCTGAGTTGACATGCCATCGAGTAAAGACTAAAAATGCCTCAGATCTTTACCAAAAACTCGTGAAGGAACATGATGTAGCCTCTTAAGTAATGAAAAACTATTCAAAAGGAGAATTCATTATTTGGGATATCAATCACACCATGATGTTTTGTAGCAAGAAGTTCAAGGCCCCTGTATTGAAAAAGAGAAAGCTTCAAAGGTAGTTCAATCAAGGATTTGGAGTAGAGTTAGAGAAATTGGTCAGGAGTATGGTTAAGTCATTAGAGCATCAAGGCCACAAACCAACCACCACTTTAAACTAATAATTTTGTTTTTATTTTTCTCAACATCGAACAAAAGAAAATATGGATTCCAAGTCAAAAATGAAACATGGCAAAAAGAAGGTTCTCCAAAGTCTTCACATGTTTGTTATTTCATCTGATGCTAGTCACATTCTTGCCTCTCAATTTTGAGAGATTTGGCAAAAACACACCAATCTGAATTTCGTGTAATGTGCACATATCCTTTATTCATGTGTATTATGCATCATCCTTTATTCATGTGCAATACACACCAGCCTAAATTTCATGTGATATGCACCAATCTAAAATTTGTGCAATACGCACCAATCTGAATTCCGTGCATTCCCCACATGTCCTTTATTTATGTGCAATATGCACCATCCTTTATTCATGTGCAATATGCACCAGTGTGAATTTCCTGCAAGACGTACCATTTTGGGTCAGTTTTAAATTTTCAAACGACCCATTAAACTATTATCCAATCAATGAATAAACTAAATGAAATGGATCGTCTAAAATGACATTTTGGACCTATTTTAAAATTTTCAAATGACCCATTTAACTATTATTCCATCAATTAAAAAAAGAAATGAGTCATCTAAAAGGTTTTTGATTAATTTTATCTTGGAAATAAAGAAGAAGGAATTTTATTGGTCATCTTGGGTGGCATATTGGGAAAACAAAGAGTTTAATGCATGCATCAACTCTTAAGTTTTCAAGAAGAGTGAGTTTAATATTTCTCCACACATTTAACTCATTCTTCTTTCACTTCAAAGAGGATACAAGACGAACAAAAAAAATAAGAACAAAAATTTGAAGACGGAAAGTCATCAGAATAGAAACAAAAATCCTCTTCTTATGAAAATATATTTCATCTTTGGTGATCTTTGTAATTTAATTAAACTTGCTTCCATTATATACTTGTCATCGTTTTTTTTACATTTCATTGTATGATCTTAAATTAATGTTTCATGTTCTTTCATATTTTGATTAAGTTGTATCTATTAGGTTTGTTTTGATTTAGTTAAGTCTACTGTTATTCTAAAATGATTACATTTTATGTACATATATATTTATTATTAATGTGTGGGTGGTTAAATTTTATCACATCGTAGAACTGATAAGTAAACTCACGCTTTGCTAAAAAATAACAATCTTAAAGTCTTTCTTTTAATTTTTAGTTTCTAGTCACTTTAAGAAAAGGAAAAAAAAGAAGTTGTTTTTGGCAAAAAAATGTAAATCTAGTCATTTTTCCAAACAAGGTAAATTTTGTTATTTTTTCAATAAATGTAAAAAATCCTGTCATTTCGTAGATTTTGTTTTTTAAAATCAATAAATATATGAAATAACTATTGAAACAAAAATACAAAATCGGCTACT